ATTATACACATTTTTCACATAATAGATGATTAATGAGATATGCGCACGCACGCACACACCACCACCATTACCACCACCACCACCATCATCACACGCGCGCGCGCACATACATCACACAACGGAAAGACAACTACTGAACGATCAATTAAATGGATAAAGGCCAACACGGCCGTACGTTAAATAAGTGGCCAAAGTAGGTAAGACAGAGAGCGAGATATAGTACGAAACTAATTTGGCCGTAAGCGGCGATTAGGCATCCCCGAGGTGCGCGTAGAAGGAGATCCAGCGCTCGTCAAAATCTAAAGTAAATCCTAATCGGATTAGCATGAGTCGACTCAACACCCGAGCAGCTTTTGTTCCCAAGTTTCAGCGACGACGTCTTGGGTTCCTTGGGGCATGCGTCTCCTTTATCCAATGAGCTAACGATTCGGAGTTTTGCGATGGGAAAATTACAACGACGACAGGGAAGCGCGATGACGGAAAGTATGATGCGCGATACATCGGGAAACATCTTAAACGCGAGCGGGCTAGTTTATTTTCGGCTTATAAAAAGAACTTTTTTAATAAGCAAACCTGAAAGTGGCGGATACTGAAAATGATATGACACACTTAAAGAGAACGAACAAAGAGAAGGAGAGAAAGAGAGAGAAAGAAAGAGAGAGAGAGATAGAGAGATAAAGCGATTCATGGGAACACGCGAAAATAAAGATTCAAAAGATAATTAGTGAATGACGTAAAGAAAAAGGGTAAAAAAAAAGATAAAAAGCGAGAGAAAAGAGAGAATGGAACATAAGCGCCGGATATCGCGTCAATGGGTTTAGTCACGATAGGATTGTTTCAATTTTCGCTTCGGGAGCGGATATACACAGTCGAGGTGCACACGGATCCTGAGCTCCTTCCTTCCACGCACACAAATGTAGATGCATATACATGTAGATGCGGTACATACACCATCGTAATGTCTGTTGCTTGCCCCTCTCTCTCTCTATGTTGAAGTGGTGCGGAATTAACCCGAGCTCCGACGGACGCGGCGCTCGCGCGCGTCGGAGCGTAAAACGAAGCTCCGCTGCTACCGCGGCGTTTCGATGCCGATGGCCTTTCGCCTGCGAGATATATCCCTATTCGATTACGTTCCTCTCGCCTGGACTCGCGGAAACTGGAGTTTGGGATACCCGGACACTCGGGCACCAACAACGAAGGCAGATTGTTTAAGTTAGCGACGCGCAACGAGCCGGATCGTTGCGCGACGCTCGGCCGAGTTCTGATTAAAAGAAAACAGCACCGATGATTTTGAATCACTTGATTCTGACACGATCTTCACGTTCACTGAGAAGCGCATTTATTCGACAAACCAGGCCAATTCTTTAGTGTAACACCTCTAACTGATCGATTAATTTTCTTTGACTGAAAATTGAAGTTTATGAGTTAATGTCCCTAACGTCCAAATAGATGGGAAAAATTTATGACAGATGAGATGAGATAAATTAAAAAGAGAATGATATATTGAGACCTTCTGAAAAAGTTTCTTTTAACGACGTGAATGATGAACAATGATAATATTAACGTTTTTATATTCTTCGTATTAATAAATATGCAAAAACTAAAAAAAAACTGTTTTAAATAAAAGCAGAAAGATTTTCACAGATAGCATTACTCGATACTTTAAATTACGTTACAAATAAAAAAATTTTGGCCATTTAAAAGCTGCTTTTATTTTTTCAGAATGAAAAAATTATACACTGTTTTTATAAAATTGTTGTGTTTCACAGTTATTTTTTTAAATAAATTTTATTTAACAATTTCATTTGATCTTCATCCGCATCACCAAATATATAGCGCAATTATTTTACACCACGTATGATTTTATTATATCCACTTTAATATGCAAATTCGTTTGCAAAGAAAGATTTTAGAAAAAAACAACTCATCTAAAGTCTCGTCGCTTCTCATCCAAACAAAGCATGAAATAAGCATGAAATAACTTGCATTTTATATTAACTTAATGGCCAATCGATAGGGTCAAATTGGGTTAGGTATTTCGTGAAAGCTTTTCGCTACGATGCACCATCGAGAGTTCCTCCTTGGAGACCGACGAGATATTGCTCTGACTCTATTAAGAGACAAGAACGACAAGCCCATCTTGTCACTTTCGGCACTTTCCAGAAGACGTCTCTCGAACTTCCGGTTCGGCTGCACGGCAAAACCGGCATGGCGAATACGCACTGTCAACGACGGAGTTGCCATGAAACTCTATAGGACGAAGTTGTAAATCACCTATTAGGGATAGCGGACTTTGAGGAACAAAATGTCCCGCCATTATGGTAGATAAGAAGCTGGCGGACCAAAGGGTAGATTTACAACTTATTAGCAACTTGTTAATTTAAAATCATAATTTTGTCAAAGAACTTCGCTTTAATCGCAACAATAAGAAAACATTTGTCCAAAATGTTTATAAAAATTATTTACTATAAAGCTAAATATTTTGTAATAAAATGGAAATAATGAACATATTGTCCGTTCAATGTATGTCGATCTCCGCGCGACTATTTAAACATTAATATCCCATTTATTTCTCCAAGCTTCTATTTAAACATTTTCAATACTTTCAGCGATTATTCATGAACGTGCGTGTGGTAATTACGTTTGATTTCGCCTATACACCGGATAATATTATTCGCCATTATGGAAACGCGAAACGCTGTTGCATAACTTTCTGTAAAGTGAAAATTAAACTTTCTATACGGTTGACGCGTATCTCGCATCGATTTGGCATCGAGTATTAATTATTGCATTGTGATATCCATTCCGCGCCGTCAAGTTGGTCGCGTTATAGACGCGATGGCGATTATTTTACACAAAATGAAATAACATTACAACACGCTGTTACTTCAGCTGTAATATAAAAGCTTATTGCAGCTTGGAATTTACATCGCTTCATCAAAAATAGTTTCACGGTATTACAAAGTAAAACAAAATATGAAATAGTTATAATGTATATGTTGTAATATATATGTCAATGTAAGCAGAAACACCAATAAAACAAAGTTAGTTAATGTAATAAAAATTTTTTTATCCAAAATCACGCTACTCTTCTGTTTATATATTTCATAATGCTAAAAAACAAATATTTCAGTATTATCAATATCAGCAGATTTTGCTTATATTTCCATTTTATAACAAAATCCGATGCATTATGCAAGACACAGTTCACCATTATTTAAATAAAAATGTTATTCACCCGGAAAATAGGAGAAATAAAAGAAAAAGTTTTATCTGTTTCCACGCGAAAAGGGAGAGAGAAGTAATATTTTATACCAAATGGAAATTTATTCGTAAATTTGATACTGCGTCATCGTTATTATTTAAATTAAAACGTATTCGAAAATGAGAGATGTACCGATTATACAAAGAACTGATTGATTCACCGATTAATAATAAAAAAGTATCTCCTTTTTTTTCCTCGGATAAATGAATTATGTTCAAATAAATTTACCCCAATCAAATAAATTTACCAAATGTAATAATTGCAATTATCAATATAGTTTTTTATTTTTATCACTTTTTCATTGTACCTTCAGATACAATTTCACGCAAATCTAGAATGGCGTTAAATCTAGATTGAGTCAAATCATGATGATTATTACGCAAACGAACAAATTCACGATTACCGACGACTTTGCAAATAAACCCGGAGTTTTGTTATCAAAGAGATTCGACTTGACGATTTAACGAGTCACGTCAACGAAAGAGCGAATCAAACTACAGACGAGCCGGCCAATCGACTCTCGGTACGATCGTTTACAGAGGATCACTTTCAATGGTCCGCTGATTGTACGAGTGGTCGCTCGATTTTGGATTAACGACCATTCTTGAGATCGGCTTGCCCAATCGCAACGACGATCGCCGCCGAGTTCCCTCCGTCGAACGCAATTTTGTGAAAGTTTAACGAGCCTCGAACTAGTTCCGCGAGAAAAGTTCAAGTTTCCACTCTTGAGAAGGAAGACGGCCGCCGAGTCCAGATCTCGAGATTTATATTATTAAGGAGGAGTGTCCATTCGTAGCTCTCGTCTGTCCTGATGGTCACGACTACTATGGCGACTGACTGTTCCATCGCGAACGCCAGTAAACCGTGACGGTCGTACACGTGCACACACAATGCGTCTTTTTATATCGATATTGACAATTATATTTCCGTTATGTGTGTCAGTTTGACAAATATATTTGGAAAATTGATGCAAAGAGTGGAAACTCTTTTGTCATGTTTATGGAGAATCAGAAAACAGTTTTCCGCGAAAAGACCAAGTCATGTCACAAAATAAAAACTACCAGTCAATATCTTGCGATTTATATCGCTAGAAGGAAGTTGCCTGTCCGTAGCTTTCATCTCGAACAGATGCGATAATATCGTGGCTGATATCGTGCTGGTTGTTCAGCAAATTGCTAACTGTGACTGTCACGTTATCGTATTCCGGATACCGACAACTGAATTAATGCTCAATATAATTTCCCATAAGTTTTCCTTTTACAATTTAATAACAACTATCAAATACACTTTTTAACAATAATAACTATTCAATTAATAAAACTATTCAATAAATAGATTACTATTTTGCGAGGCTAATAAAAAATTTTGCAATGCATAATCATACAAAAAAGGATGCGAACAGCTTTGTGCAAAAATTGAATGAATTTCAAGTTAATTTAAGTTTTTTTCTAAAAAGTCTGTCTTCCCATACCAACTTTTTGAAATGTAAAATCGCCATGAGAAAATTGTTACACGCGCTTTTCATTTGCATATGTATCCATAATAGTTATCACGAGCGAGTTATGCCACAAATTCCAAATTGGAATCAAATGCCGAAATTAATTGCAACTAGTACGAATAAAATATACATATACATATCCGGTATTATAAATCTATTATTTCACTAATAGCATAAATGTCTCGCATGTTATTCTGACGAGACACTTGTCAATTAAGACAAGATCGATGTACTTACTGATAACGGTGAGATTAACTTTCAAGTTTCTTGTCGGTGAGTTTCGGAAGTCGACTCTGCATCTGTAGACACCCTCGTCACTTTGTCGAAGGTCCTGAACTGTCAGCTGCGCCGGCGGGCTTGCACGAAAAGACGCCCGGTGGCCCCAAAAATGCGCGGCACTCCACAATTTCGCCTTTCCGAACTGTCGACTTCTCGCGTCGTAACTGCAACACCAATTGTAAAAATATGTTAGTAAAATAATTCGAGGATTTGATTATTATGTTTGTTCTATAATGATCATCAGGTTAAAGGTTATTTAAATCTCGACAATTTTATTTTAGCCCAGGAACCCTTCATAGAATTATAGAAGAATCGATATGTCGAATTGGAGTAAGGAAGAAATAGATCGACCCGTATACTTCGAATTGCTGCCATTGCTCCCAATTCCGTGAGAAAGCCGAGCGGTATAGAAAAGATTTACGCCGTTGATTTAATATAACGCAAAAGATTCCAAAGCGAGTTTCTTATCGTAAGTGCATCGCACGTTGCATTTACGGGGGGGGGGGGGAGGAGAGTCTGTTTGCGACTGATATACCTCGTCTGGCGGGCTCGGCAAGGAGTGTCCTCGGGCCGTGCATACAAATCACAGGATTACCGCCGCGAAATATTGTCCGCCGCCCGCGGAGTTAAATACCGCAGTTTCGCGTGTCGCAAATCGCGACGCCAAGTCGCGTAGCTCGCGACGCCGTCCGCCACACGATACTCGCATTTGTCAGCTCGACGGAAACTTTCCCCCCGGGGACGGAGTTATTTTAAAATCTTTCCTTGCGCGGCCCGGAAAAAGGGGGAACGAGCGGAGAGGCCGAGGGGGAGAGGGCCCGCCCCCGGGCTAAATAATGCGGGTTAAGTCGGCCAGCGAAGGAACGAATGGCCGACGACCGAAGTACGATGCACAATACACCCTGGCCGCTCTTATCTTGGCTTCGGCCAATTTTTCACCGAACTTTTGCAATTCGTCATAGTCGAGGAGCCCGCGAGAGGTGAAGCTCTCTCTCCTATTCCCCTCGAAGTCGCCTGAGCTCAAGAAGACCCACCAATACAGACCAGGAGAAGTGCACTCGACCGAGAGAGTCAGATAACCCCTTACTTCCCAGGTCAGAGCTTTCTGAAGGTGGTATTAGGGTCTTACTGAAAGAGGAGACGGCCGCGTGCTATAGTGTTCGTTATGATCTAGCGGATAATCCGCGAGTACAGACGACAGTATATAACCCGATTTATTTCTCTCTAATTTATTTACTCCTTCAAATTCGCTCTAATTTCTTTAAAAAAAAAAAAATCTACATCATAAAGATTTCAGCATATCAATAAATAAATTAGGCCTCGGTACTTTTAAACACGAAGATGTTAGACTGTGTTTCCAAAATGTGCTCGTCTGCTTATTATTACGCGTACGAAATATTTTCTCTTATTCTCAAAGACCAAGAGATACACTGTATTTCCATGATTCGAGAATCAATCTGTGACGCAGGTGCATCCTGCTTCTCTCGTACGTGTCTTCAATTATCAACGAAGGTGCTCGAACGTAAGTTCGTAAGTCTAATCGAGCGACGGAGTTGGCGGCGGACGAAGTTGGCACAATAAGACGTTCGCACCGTCGATCGTCGCCTGAAGCGTCGACGCCGAAGTTTCGGCGTTGCCCTCATCGAGATCCTTGCGGTTGCCAAGACAAATTGGATTGGTTTTTAATGAGCACGATGACTCGACGAGCGGGCGATCCGCAAATTTACCGGCGCGACACGGCGCAACTCTCGGCGCTAATCCGCTCGTCGAGCTTCTCTCCCATGATTTATGCAGTCTACGTGAAATTTAAGGGATCCACGAACACACGTCGACGGTAAAAAGGTCTAATTGCAACGGACGGCTGCTCTCCGAGGCCGAGCGAGTAAATCCCTTGCGGGAAATTTTATTTGCGAAAGTCGGCCACGTTGTGTCGCGTAGATAATTAAGCGTGAAGGCGAATGTTGCCAGCGGAACGATGTTGAAAAGCACGACACCGCATATAGCTATATCGAATCATTTTGTTTCGAATAGAATGTTGAAAAAAAATATGATTTTACTTTTCATAAAACGTTATTTCTTTTTAATTTTAAATATATTTTTAAATTAAAAAATTTTTTAAATTTATCATATAATATTATTTTTGTAAAAAATTAATATTTTCAATAATTACTGTTTACTATATGTATATTTATATGTATAAAATTAAAAAAGAAATACGAATTATTCAGATCTAAAAGATTCATATCATATTTGAAATATATATCATATTTGAAATAAATATTGTAAATTTACAAGTGAGAGCTATACGTTTTATATACATTTTTGTTAAAAATTCATATTTTACATACGTTTCTGTTAAAAGTTATTAATTTAATCATCCAAGGCTAAACAAGATTTAATTTTAATTGTTTATATTAGTTAAATTTAATTTTATTGGATATCACTTCATAATTTCACAAAATATAGAACACTAAACTCACGTTTTCCCGAATAACAATTCATTTATATAGTTTTATTTCGTTAAAGCTTTTTTTCAGCTCACAAAATGTATATAAATATACATTTACATTTCAATCATATCAAAAAATAAATTATAAACTATATATTTAAAAAGATAACAAAAATTATGAAAAACGATTTGTTTTATGAACAAATCTGTTATCGTGAAATGAAAAGTTACGGGAGAATATTATAATCTGCGCGTATAAAATGTCTACATGTAAATATACAATTATACAAATCGTGCATTATTATAAAGTGAAGAATGTATTTTTTAAGCAGTTAGTGTATGTGTGTAAATTAATATGTCGGGAAAATTTTGCTGATTAACGAAAATTAATATGTAAATAATTATGATTGTAATTCTCGGAATTTTGTCGTGTTTCAAAATATGTCACAGGCATTTTTCAAATAATTATCATTCGGTGAAATTTTAATTAATACTGTCAACAATTCATTAGTACCGTCGAAAACAGCAATTGCGAGTAATAAAGCACGTCACGATCGCATGAATTTTGTCATGCACTTTAACTGAGAAATTTTTCATTTGTTTCATGTTCAAATTGTCAAAACTGTATTATTAATTCTATCTGAAAAATGTTTATTGTTCATCGATGAAGATTTTCTCCGAATTGTTACATGCTTTTATTACGAGTATTTCGAGAAATAAAAATCTCTAAAATTTAATATGAAAAGGCCTTTTCTAAAAGTTATGTCAAATATGTTTTATATACGCAAGAGATGTTCTACATATATCTTTATAATTTCTATATATATCTTTATAATTTATCTGTGATTAAATTTATATTATAATATTTTATAACTTTTGTTTCCATTTCTGCGGAACTATTTCTATATATTTAAAATAATCACAATTGTAATTAACCATTAAGGATTTATCATTAATTTATTAAAAGAAAAACATAAATCTTTATTATGAATAATAAAAGATACTGTAATAAAACATCCTTTTAATCCCAAAAAATATATTGTAATATTAATCTTTATTTTATCATATCTTTATGTTTTTAATACCGTCGATGCGAGTTTCCATTGGGATTTTTGCAAGATTAGACAGCGAACTTTTAATCCGTAAATGAGGACGAGGGATAATAAGAGGGTGGAAAGAACTGAAATAGGATGAAAAGACAGAAAATGGAATGAAAGTGGCAGATGGCGCCTAAACAAATTAAAATAATCGCTGGATCCTGCCCGGAAGCCGGCACCACTGGTCTAAAAGAAGGTCTCCATGAATACGGGTGATGTTGGGCGAAAACGAATGTTGCGCGGAGGAGCCTGGAGGGTGAGTCGTAAGGGGGACTTAACCACTCTCGGGACTCTTAAAAGGAGCTTAACTTCGCGCATAAAATTAAGGCATTGTAATTGCAGACGGCGTCGCCACGTTTCTCCCCTTTCTCCCCCGATTCTCCCTTCCGTTACCTTCGCTGACCCATTCCTCACAACCATTTCTTCCCAAGCCCTTCAAGTTCGCTTCGATACTGATCTCATTCCCTTTTTTAACGAGGAATATTTTCCCTCGCTAACTTCGCGCGCTGTCACGGCGATGACAATGATAAAATTATTTTTAATTGCGGGAATACGCATCTCGTATTTTCGGGTGAGTTCGCAAGTTCCTGCCGGATTTGCAGCAAGCAGTGTATAGAATATTATAAAATATTAAATTTTTCTTCAAGGGATGTGAATATATTCACGAAATAAGTGATCTTCATAATTTATTTTTCTTTAATAGGAATATTGTACGGCGGGTTTTATCTCTTCTCTCTTCTCTTCACAACGTTTTTTAATGTTCACTATAATAGATTTGCATAAGAAATATAACAAATTACATACAATTATTAAATTTTTTAAGCCTTAACATAAATCTTTGGCAAGTATTTTAAGACGTGTATCTCTTGCTACGTTTCAAGATAATTTTTCGTCAGCAAAAATTCAATTGAATCGTTAACTTTTTTTCTCAGTTTTGCAACTTATAAGAATTTAGTATTGCTACGTTAAAATTCTATATTTATGTTTGCTTTATCAAAAGTTTTTTTTTTATCTTTGTATAAATATTATTTTTATACGCTCTTATTGTATCCGCAATAATTGTACCCAGTATTTAGCGGATAAATAAAAACGTGAAGAGTTAATACACCACAAAACGACGTATCGAGTGATGTGTTAGCGTAAAATGGGATCGTCTCGCTGATTTCCATCGTTGTTCATGAAATCCGTGCCCGTGCGTGTTTCCATTCGGAAGAAATGTGATTTTCCCGGGGACAACCTCGTTATGCTTCGCATTAGTTGCGGAAGTCCTCCCGGACGACGATGATAAAATGATTTTTAATTGCAGCGGATGTGCAAGCCGGAGACGAGCACCACCCTCACCGTCGGCTTCTCTCATGCAGATTACACTGCGCGGGATGAAGCATTAAATAAATCCCTCGATAAATCCACGAAATAAAATATGTACCAAGCGGTCTCCGGGGGATCGCGGAAACTGTTTAAGTCGCTTGATAACGCGGTTGCACTTTATCGTTATCTAGAATGCGCACTGTTAAGAATCGTCGCTATGAAAATCTAAATAAAGAAAACGTAATCAATTACAGGATTGTATATAAGAAAGATATATGTATATGAAGAATCTGCTTTCAGCTTTCTTTCA